ACATGCTTATTGATTTTAGAGAGAGAGAAAAGGAGGGAGAGAAGTGGGGAGAAGAAACATCGATCATTTGCCTCTAGCACACACACCAGCTGGAGACAGACCCGCACCCTGGGCATGTGCCCTGACCAAAATCGAACCTGCGACCCTTCAGTTTGCAGGAGGACGCTCCAACCTTGAGCCACAGCGGCCATGCGCTTATCCATGTTTGCATCGGTTTTTGGGGAACATGTCTAAAAAGAACAAGATAATCTCCCTCTCCTCTCACCCCCAATTTTGAGAAGAAACACTTTTAAAATATTTTATTGATTATGCCATTACAGTTGTCCTATTTGCCCCCTTCATTCCCCTCCACCCTGCACACCCCTCCCCCACCATTCCTCCCTTTAGTTTATGTGCACGTGTCTCAAGTTCTTTAGATTCTATATTTCCCATACTATTCTTGCCCTCCCCCCTGTCTATTTTCTACCTACCATCTATGCTACTTATTCTCTGTACCTTCTCCCCCCTTCTCCTCCTCCCACTCCCCTGTTGCTAATCCTCCATGTGATCTTCATGTCTGTGGTTCCGCTCCTGATCTAGCTGTCCTCTTAGTTTGCTTTTGTTTTAGGTGTGGTTCTTAATAACTGTGAGTTTGCTGTCCTTTCACTGTTCATATTTTTTATCTTCTTTTTCTTAGATAAGTCCCTTTAACATTTCATATAAGAAGGGCTTGGTGATGATGAACTCCTTGAATTTATCTTATCTGAGAAGCACTTTATCTGCCCTTCCATTCTAAATGAAAGCTTTGCTGGATAGAGCAATCTTGGGTATAGGTCTTTGGATTTCATGACTTGGAATACCTCTTTCCAGCCCCTTCTTGCCTGTAAGATCTCTTTTGAGAAATCAGCGGACAGTCTGATGGGAGCTCCTGTGTAGGTGACTGTCCCCTTATCTCTTGCTGCTTCTAGGATTCTCTCCTTCATTTTAATCTTGGCTAATGTAATGATGATGTGCCTTGGTGTGTTCCTTCCTGGGTCCAACTTCTTTGGACTCTGAGCTTCCTGGATTTCTTGGAAGTCTATTTCCTTTGCCAGATTGGGGAAGTTCTCCTTTATTATTTATTCAGATAAGTTTTCCACTTGTTGCTCTTCCTCTTCCCCTTCTGGTACCCCTATAATTCAGATGTTGGAACGTTTAAAGATGTCCTGAAGGTTCCTAAGTCTCTCCTCATTTTTTTGAATTCTTGTTTCTTCATCCTTTTCTGTTTGGTCATTTTTTTTCTTCCTTCTGGTCTACTCCCTTGATTTGAGTCCCAGTTTCCTTTCCAGTACTATTGGTTTCTTGTGCATTTCCCTTCATTTCAATTAGTTTAGCCTTCATTTGTTCCTCTAATTTGTGACTAAAATCAACCAGTTCTGTGAGCATCCTGATCACACCAGTGTTTTGAACTGTGCATCTGATAGGTTGGCTATTTCTTGGTCGCTTAGAGTTATGGGCTCTGGGGCTTTGAGTTCTTCTTGAGCCATAATGTTTTGGTCTGTTCGTGCCTGTTACGTATGAGGGATGGAGCCCTAGGTGTTCACCAGGGCGGGGCCACCCAGGTCGCTGGGTTGTGCTGCTGTATGTGGGGGCGGGGTCAGAGAAGGGCATTAGCAGTCCCCTTTGCTGCTTCCCGGCACTGGGGCCTGCACGGTCTGTCTCACTGCTTGCTCCTTCGCCTGGTTTATCTGCGCATGAATGTGTGTCCATGGTCAGCCTGCTGCCTTGTGCCCTCACTGGATCTGCCCATTGCCACCCCACGCCTGGGATCTGCCAACTGCCGCCTGTGCTTCTGGGTCAGTCCCACCGATTTTTCCTGCCCGACCCCATTCTGCCAGCCGCTGACTCCACCCCTCTAACCTGTCTGGCTGAGTCTGGCAGAGTCTGGCTGAAGGGTTCGTTGTTTTCAGACTTCCGTACAGTTCAATTTTCTGTGTTTTGGTTGCATTTTTGTTACTAAACCTTTGTTGCCTTTAAACTTGGTTGTGCGAGGAGGTACAGTGTTTCCACCTACACCTCCATCTTGGCCGGAAGTCCCCCGAGAAGAAACACTTTTTGATTCTTTTTGTGAGGCTAGTTTTTTTCAGACCTAGTTGATGGGATTCTCTGTGGAAGAAATGTACCCTGTACAACTTCCCGGTGAAAGGAGATGTGTTGAATATAAGATATTAGCATTTTTCAGATTGCCATGAAAATATAGTATGTAAACTGACAGCTGGAGGTTTCAGGGTTTGCGTGAGTCTCAACCCTCCCAAAGCACACAGTTGCAGGCACAGGGAGGGGAGTTGAGGATGTTGGAGCAGATTGAGATGCTGTCAGCTCACACTGCTTTTCGTGGGTTTTTCTTTGTATCATTTGGCTTTTGGGATCTGTTTGCACTATGAGTTGACATGGAGAATGACCTATTCTGCTTTGCTTTCAGAGCATTTAGGAGAGATTGTGCAACTGGTATCAGGGTCAGGGGTAGGGGTGTATTTTGAAATAATTGTGCTATAACTATTGTGTTCCTGTTATGCAGGCTGTCCAAAATAATCACTTCTGGCTGAGATTTATATCCATTTTATTCTGCCTCTAGCAGAAATTCAGAAGTGACTCCTCTGTCAGCCTCCTCCCCTCACTGCCCTCTTTTGGCTTAATTTGTAAGTTCCATTCTTAAACATTCTGCATAAATGCCTGGCTTCCCTGAGCTGACTCTCTCTCTTACTGAATGGGTGATGTTATGTTTTAACCTACTGTGTAGGTGATGAGGATATTTTACTCTGAGTAACCAGACTGTCTAGTTAACACAAGCTTCACAGGAGCAACTTTGTCTGACCCAACATTGGGCGATGTTTTTGGTTTTCAGGGATAAACATTTTTTAAAAGACCTCAAAGTGAGATCCTCCTGTGTGCTTGCAGAGTAAACATCTGCCTGACCACCAGGTGCTTCCCAGGAGCTCTGCAGGAGCTTGGTTAATCCAGGCAAGCTCTGCTGTCCTCCAGTTTTTCCTTCTTTCCCTGGAGACTTCAGACATTCTGCACGGTTGGCGGGAAAGTGGGAGTCAAGGAGACTCCTTGTTACCGGGCTTTTCTTGATGACCGAGTAAACTTTGCTTGTCGCTACTCAGCATATACCACCAGCGGTTCTTTTTCTGAAGAAAGCGAGTGCTTTCAAGCCGCGAGGCTTCCTTGCTTCAGTGGGGATTGCCAGTGCTCAAAGGAATGCTGTCAGCCCTGGGTTTTCTTTTCTTTGTGAAGCTGTAGCTTGGTGGGGCCAAGTGGCAGGACCCGGCTTGAACGATGATTTACTGCTGCTCTCTGTCTGTTTTCACGTCCTGGGGACCTTGTGAAAACGGAGCTCTGGCTTCAAACCGCCCACAGAGTCTTGGCCTTTCTTCCCTCTCTGGCCTGGGGAGACCGAGATGACAGTGTGTCTGAGCTGGCTGTTCTGTGCTCGGGTCCCTTCCTCCCTCATACAGTCTTCTAAAGTTCAGAGGCAGGGATGAGACTCCCCAGTTCCTAAGAACCTAATGGAGGCCTCCGTTTTTCATCCTCACAGTCAAACCCACACCTCAGTGAAGTGCTTCATTTTACCAGCAGGCAGTTAAGACACTTTGCTTACTTTTCCCGTGTGGAATGATGTTTGGTTCCTGGTTGAAAGGGTCACTGTTAAAACAGAGTACAGATGTTTAAGAATTCAAAGTATCTAGGTACTTTGGGAATGTGTTGGAGGTATGATTACCTCTCTTTGTATTGAAGGAGCTGGTGTTTCACAACAAGTTGTGTGTTTGTGCACATGTCTCTAGTATGCTACGGCATCAGCACACGATGCTGTTCATACATGCGGAAATCTCCACATCATTTGACTTTCAGATGCATTATCTCTCTTTCATTTTATTTTGGCCATCTTGTCCAGCCTATTCGTTTTGTCTCACACTCAAAACACATTTGTACTTCAAACCTATAGTAACCAATAGTGTTCCATGGGGATCAAAAATGTATTAGAGAAGCCCTGGCTGGTGTGGCTCAGTGGATTGAGGCGCCGCCTGTGAACCAAAGGGTTGCTGATTCAATTCCCAGTTCGATTCACAAGCCTGGGTTGTGGGCCAAGTCCCCAGTTGGGGGTGCACCAGAGGCAACCACACATTGATGTTTCTCTTCCTCCCTTCTCCGCTCTCTAAAAAATAAAATAAATAAATAAGTAAATAAATGTATTAGAGGAGCCACAGGAATGACAGGGCCCCAGCCCTGTGGGGAAGTGTTGCCTATTCTGAGTTTCTTTTGATCAGCCTGTGATTGTCCCACTAGAGGGCAGTTCAGGAACAGATACGAGGTGGCGAGCAGACCCTTTTTCTAAAGAGCAGGGGCGCTCTTCTGCTCAGATTGAAGGTGGGCAGTGTCCATGGTCAGGTTCACTTGAGTCTTGGCTCCTGTGTGAGCACGGATCACGGTGCTAGAAAGGCAGAGTCTTTAGAGCCTCTGAGTCTGCTTTGCGAAGGTGTGGTAGATGTTAATTTCTAAACACGGGGCTCCAGCAGTGGCTGACAAGTAGTCTTAGTTCTCTTCTTTCACAGAAATGTTCGTGTGACCTTTTACCTCTGACCATCATCCCCTTCCCATCAGGTGGATCCCCAGTTACACTCTTATCACGTTGCTCTGCCCTGTTTTCTTCCTAGCACTCACCACTGTGTAAAGTTGCTTTGTTTGTGTTTTTGTTTAGAGTCTATTTCCCTTGCCCTTTTCTGAGCTGTATCTTTAGCTCAGCACAGTGAGTGTCTGGCACATGGTAGGCATTCATAATATCGGAAGGAAGGAATCTTTGCCAGGAAAAGCAGTAACTGTTCAGGAATATTTTGTGTATTTGTTTCACTTTTGATCGCTGAGAAAACTGAATCTACCCCAAACCTGTCTTTTCCGGCCTTCTTTCTTCAACTTTGGTCCTGTCTGTTGGGAAGAATGAAGACGAATGATTTTCTAAGTCTCTTTTCTCTCCCCCACTCTAGCTTGCCAGCAAAGCACGGACAGAGAAGGAGGAGAAACTGAGCCAGGCCTATGCAATCAGTGCTGGTGTCTCCCTAGAGGGCCAGCAGCTCTTCCAAACCATTCACAAGACGTGAGTTGGGGGATCACAGGGGTCCCTCGTCCTGGGGTAATGCTGCCTGGCTGTGCTCTCTGGGGCGGACTTTCGGGTAGTCGTGTTCCTGAAAGTCACCAGGGAGGCTGGGCGGTGTGTCGATAGCACCTCGGCACCCAGGGCTGTGGGTGCCTGTTGCCATTCCATACAGAGGAACGGTGTAATCATGGACAGGTTGTCTTCCGTGGGTGTCCGTTTGCGGTTTCTTCTGTAAGACTTAGTTTTGGATTAGGTCACCCCTACAGGTCCCTTCCAGACCTAGTAGTTCTGAATTTAGAATTAGTGATTTCTTTGTCTTTTATTATTTTCATCTTGTACCTTTCTCTAAAAGTTTATGCAATTTTATTAAGGAAAAGTTGTATCTGTTTTACCCTTCTCGGTTGTACATTGAGGTAAACACAAGGCGTTAAGGAGAGCAGAAGGCCGCCTGTCGTCGCCTTCTGAAAGATGTTTTGTCACAGCAGAAGTCATTTGACTCGCCACTCGCTTCCCTAGTTGCTGAAAAACTGAAACATTTGACACCCCCCCGCCCCCCTGCTGCCTTCTGTTACCCTGTTTAACCACCTGGGTCTGGTGCGCAGATGGCAGCTGGCATTAGAGTCGTTTGTGGCCGTGGTGGGAGTATCGGAACGTTCACAGGTGTGTGAAGGAGCTCTCCGTAGTGTCAGCTGTCCTGGGCTCCCCGAGTGTGAACTGGAGTGGGTTTTCCCGGTCTGGCAAGAGCCCAGCTGTCTGATGATGGAGAGGGACCGGTTTGGGGAGCGGCTTCCCTTTTTGGCAGAGCACAGATCACAATACGATGGGGAATGACGGCGAATTCGTTCTTCTGGTTTTCCCCCAAAGTGCCATGTCCCCCTAGCGTGAAGGTTGGCAAACAGCCAGCAGGCCAGATCTGCGTATTTGTTTATACGTCGTCTGTGGCTACTTTTCTGGTGCAGTGGCGTAGTTCAGTGGTGGTGACAGAGATGGTATGGCCTTCAGAGCTCAAAATATTTGCTCTCTGGCCTTTTACATAATAAAAAGCTTACCAACCCCTACCTAACCCCTGGGCTGCTACTTAAGTTGACTCTAGTGGCCTGAGCCTAGCTCTTATTTGTAACTCAATTTGGTTTGGACTTCTAAGGCTGCTAGCAAGTTTGCTATGGTTTTCCAGGCCCTTAATGCTTTTTAAAAATATATATGTATAATCTTTGTTATATTTTTTTCCGTTGTCATTTAGTCCCCTTATATCTCCCTCCTAAGGCCCCTAATGCTTCAGAGCAACACTTCTGGGCCTTCCTCAGAGTAAACGTGCATCAGTTTCACTGCTGTTCCTGGCCAGTGGTGCCCAGGAAGTGTTTCTTGGCCACTCTCCCTATTGGCTAGTGTTGGCTGAGTGGTGAGCTGGGAACTTGGGGTCAGCAGGAGGTATGGGGTGCCCGCAAGAGATAACTTTCATCTGCTCTTTTTTCCTTCCAGCATTAAAGACTGTAAATGGCAAGAAAAAAACATCATAGTCATGGAAGAAGTTGTTATTACACCCCCATATCAAGTGGAAAACTGTAAAGGCAAAGAGGGGAGTGCACTGAGCCATGTACGCAAAATAGTAAGTAAAGGAGCCATGAGACTTTAGGTAGAGGGTGATTCACCCTTGGCCTTCACCCTCCAACCTCAGGGCAGGACAGTGCGCTGCAGGCCCTGCCACCAACACAGCCGAGCGGTCCTGCTTAGCCTCTCTGCCTCCCTGCAGGGCGCTGCTCTGTGGCTGTGGCTTGGACACTCCCACGGGGGTGGAACCACCGGATAGTAACAGAATAAAGTGAGCGGTCGTTTGCAGTGTGGCCCTCTGTGTGGGGCTTTTTGGAATTCCTCTCATCTCAGCCTGGATTCTTCTCGGGAAGGGCTGGTGGGAATAAATCAGTTGCCACTGGCGTCCCTGACCCTGCATATGGCATGTGACTTCTTAGATTGAGTTGTAGCATTTATAAAAAATCGTTGAAAGACCAACATTGTGGATGTAAAAAATTTAAGACTATAATCCCCCACCAGCGTTCCGTTCTGCACTTGTATGAAGAGGGGAGAGGGATTTTCGAATGATAATAATCTCTCTTCAACTTCTGTTTTAGTTTATAGATTCACCTTCTTTTATCCAATCTTAGCTGAAGCTGCAAAAAGTGTGACTGAAAGAGGAGACCCCCACCTGCCTTGCAGGAACAGCCCACAGACAGCAAGGGCAGAGGCACCCAAGTGACCCCGGGGGCTGGTTCGCTGGGCTGGGGCTGTTGAAACCTGGAACGGACGGTTTGAGAGGCCCTCCGTGCCTGGCTCCTGTTCTGACCTCAACTGACTGGTGTCTTTCAGGTTGAAAAACATTTTAGAGATGTGGAAAGCCAAAAGATACTGCAGCGTTCACAAGCCCAGCAACCACAGAAGGAGGCTGCCCTGTCATCCTGAGTCCACATCCACGGAGGGCTCTCCCAGCATCCAGCCAAGGAGGCGATGGTGGTGGCTCCAGCGGAAGCAGGCCGGGGGAGGGAAGGGATCCTGTATTTCCCATTGGCTCTTGTTAACAAAGGGTCGGCATTTCCAAATCTTAGACTTGAACAAACAAAACACCCAACAAAAAAGAACAAGAGAATAATTTAAAAGTTGAACCATTACTTGACTAGCAGACTTCGGTCCACCATGTCCTTTTCACAGCCCCCTCTGGAACGGTCACCTTGTTAGTTTCATTTTTGAAAATTTCTTTCTGGCTCTGCCCTTTCACCTCTGACTTTCCTTTCCTAGTCTGTCCCTGCCATTCTGTTTTTATAAGTGGCTACATTTGCCTTCTGAATGAAACCTCTACAAGAAACTTCTACATCTTTTCCAAAATAAAAGTAACAAGCTGACTGTGATACTTCAGTTGAGACTAGAACAGCAGACAGGTCTCACTTTAAATTTTTCTTTTTTTCTTTTTCTTTTTTTGCACAGGGCATGGCTTGAATTAGTTTTATTTTTCTTAACTTTAAATATATATATGAAAATATATATTAAAATGTTCTCTAAATATTTTCTGCTTCTTGCAGGTCTCTTTTTACTAGATCATGGCCACTCTTCCCACCTCATCCTTCTGAAAGTGAAAACGTATTGCCCTCCCCACCACCCATAGTCAGGCAACTAACCTGACTTAGTTCACAGCAAGAATCTGGCAGCACTTGGCGGAGCCAGTGTGTTCAGATAAGAGTCGGCTCTGAGGGTTCCTGGTGGCTGTCAGTTTTCAGTTTCTATGTGTGCACCAGTCTCACATTGGGCCGAAAGCTCAGGATTCTCCCTGTCTTTTCTCTTACTTCACGGTACTAGAAGGACCTCTTCAGCACTCCCTGGTCTCCTAGATGGGAGAGTCAGCTGACCTTTCTCCAGTGTCCTCTGCAAAACTGTTTTGCGTGGCACACTCCACTCCTCCTTGAGGGGTGATACTCCTTCATCAGAAACCTGGAGTCCGCCTATCCTGACCTCTCTTTAAGTATGCACCCAGAGTCACTAGCCCAGAAGAAGGCTGGGTTGCCTATACTTTCTCTTCTGCCAGCCTCCTACTCTGATGCCCGTCCCCACTCCCTGTAAATTTTACAAGCTTATGAGAGTTTGTATGTGCTCAGCCAGTGGGCAGAGAACCTGGAAAGAATTCTGGACTTTAGCCCACCAGTTTGTCTGGGTCGAGTAACCTGCTGAGAGCTGAAATTGGCACCCGTCGCCCCGTGCCTCCCGGGCAGTCCACTGGGGCCGAGTGGGCCACCTCGGTGTCGGGCACTGAGTGCGGTGTGGGCGACGCTCGTGTGACTGGCTAGAGCTTGGGGGTGGGGTGGGGGTTCACTACTATTTTTTTGGCCATGATCTCTTCCCCCCTTTTTTTTAATTAAATAAATGGATCAAAATTAAATAATTCAAGCCCTGCCTTCAAAATGAATTTTTTTTTAGTATTGTTTAGCAAAAACAATAAAAACCCAAATTTTTTTAACCATCACTCGTGTCTCGGGTTTGTGCGTGCTTTAGAGGCCCCAGAGGGAGGGAGTCTGAGGGTGTGTGCGTTTGGTCTGACTTCCCCTTTGGATTCTTGGCTTCCTGTTCTTTATCCTCTCTCCTCTACTCCCTGAGAACTCCATCCAGAAGTCTGGGCAAAGTGTAGTTCAAGAGGGGCATCCAGGGTTGGGAGTTGTAAGTGGAGTAGGAGAATAAAGGGGCTGGGTACATGCAGAACACCCATTTTTTAAAACAGGATTTATTTATTTTTAGAGAAGGGGAAGGGAGGTAAAGAGAGAGAGAAACATCAGTGTGTGGTTGCCTCTGGCACGCCCCCTACTGGGGACCTGGCCCACAACCCAGGCATGTGCCCTGACCGGGAATCAAACCGGTGACCTTTTCGTTTGCAGGCCGGCACTCAGTCCACTGAGCCACACCAGTCAGGGCAGAAGACCATTTGTAACAAGACTGTTTAGAGGAAAAATGAGAGAAGACTGACAAACTTTCATACTCACCTGCCATTGGCCAGAACATAGTTTAAAGTACCATGCCTTTGATTTAGTCTGCGTGGAAGTGTAGATTTCTGGAGAAGGGAAAGAGGGAAAAGGGAAGAGACCTTGCAAGATCTAGGAGACCTAAGAGGTGTGATTAAAACAGTGATGGCAATTAGGGGGAAGCTCTTGTCATGTGTCCTGTGTTGTCCCTTCCCCCCAGTGGTCTCTAGGTCTGAATGGGAGACGGTGGGTGTAACTTTCTGGTGGGAAGTGCTTTGACTCTCTGGTTTCAGTCAGTCTATGTGATGTGGGGGAACTTGAAGCAGCTGTGGAGATAGTGTAATGGGGAAGACAGGCAGAGAGGTGTAGGGAGCTGAGGCTTTGGAAATAAGTGCTTGGGTTCAAATCCTTACATCTCTGTTTTCTCACTTTGTGCCTCGGTAAGTCATTTCAACTATCTCAACCTTTATTTCCCCAACTGTAAATACTGAATTAATCCTTATCTCCTAGAATTGGCACGAAGGGTTAAAGAAAATATTTTATTATTTTTTTAAAGGTTTTATTGATTTATCTTTAGAGAGGAAGGGAAGGAGAGAGGGAGAGAAACATCAATGTATGGTTGCCTCTCATGGGTCCCCTGCTGGGAACTGGCCTGCAACCCAGGCATATGCCCTGACTGGGAATCGAACTGTGATCCTTTGGTTCATAGGCCTGTGCTCAATCCACTGAGGTACACCAGCCATGGCTAAAGAAGATATTTTAAATGCCTGATACTTACAAGGTGCTCTGCCAGTGTTAATATAAATTATTATATTAATAATAATTTATTAATTGATAATAATATGAGCCTGGTCCTGGGGTGGTTAAATGTGGACATGAAACTGGATTAGATGGTTTCCCAAGGCTCCAGCCGTGTGTCACAAGTCTCTGTTTAGCTGGCATTTTAAGTGAGGCTGATGCTGTTACCTCCCTCACAGCTCTCGCCCCTACCCCTTCCCTGGAGTCCCTGAGGAATTTCTTTGAGTATACTTTGAAAACCACTCACTTTACAGAAAGAAGGGGAGTGAGTGCCACCAGGGTGAGTGACCTGTCGAGGGGACCCTGTAGTGGCAGAGCTGGAACAAAACCCCAGCTTTATCCACCCCTGGGCTCTGCTGCTGCTTTGCGACTTTTCCACACTGTTGGCATGTGTACCGCTCACATGCGTTTGCCAGGTGCAGGATGGAACACCGAGGAGACAGGTGAGTGGCAGGAAAACTCCCCGGAACTGAAAGAACGTGGAACTGTTGACGAGCGCGGTGCAGTGGTCTCCCATTGACGATGCAGCGCCCAGGTAGTTACACACCATCTCCCCGGCTTTGAGACAATCGTGTCCCTCTAAATACACGCACCCCTCTCTGCCCCAGGGCCCGATGGCCTCTCCACGCCTGTCGTTTGGAGCATCTCGTCCATTTGGTGTAACAGCCTCACCGCACCGAGTTGATACTGAATCTGCTGTTAAGTCTGAGTAGCTCATCACTGGTTTCTGTTTAGTGTTTGGAAAATTGCTCAAGCACTTCAATATTGGTCCAGGGATTCCAGCCTGGGAACCACGAATGTAGGGTAAAGTTTCCTTGGCAGTTTTGAAGCTTAAAAATGTGTGTATCCAAATTTCTTCTCATCCATAAGACATTCTGGTTAAGGAGGGAGTAGAGGGTTTTCAGCTGCACACAAATAGAATCTGTTGGTGGACAGGGAGGACCCTGTGGTGGGAAGGTGTAATGGTAGAAGCTGCAATGTTCAAGGTGAGTGGTGGGGATGGTGGTTGGGGCACGCGTTTGGGTATGGGGACTGGTCCTCGCATTTGGAAGGTGAGCGCTGTTTTACGTGCTAGGTCTGTTTTCCTGTCGGTGCTGCAGACTCTGGGCCGCAGAACCCCCTTTGAGGAAAGGACATCGCGGTCCAAACTCGGGGATTTACCGTAATACCAGGAAGTACCTGTCCGAGGAGGAAGGGGTGCGGCTGGGCTGGCCGCCGGCCCCTGGTGGCAGACTGCTGCGGGGTTATCAAGTTCCAGCGAGGTTTTTTTTTTTACCATTCTTACATGGCTTACTGCGGGGAGACTAAAGAATGAGGCAGGCATTTTCCATATGCCACCTAAGGCGCGGTGGCCGTCTTTCCCGTTCTCTGGATTCTAAGGCGCTTCTTCCTGCCCCGGCGTTTCCGAAAGTGCAGTGCGGGTCAAAAGCCCCTCGTCTCGTGCCTACGGTGTGCGCTCTGTAGTCCGTTAGGATGGTAGGCTGCTTTTTTTTTTTTTTAAGATTTTGCTTATTTATTTTAGAGAGAGGGGAAGGAAGGGAGAGAAACATCAGTGTGTGGTTGCCTCTTGTGCATCTCCTGCTGTGGACCTGGCCCACAACCCAGGCATGTGCCCTGGTTGGGAATTGAACCTCGACCCTTTGGTTTGCCGGGCAGCACTCAGTCCACTGAGCTATGCCAGCCAGGGCTATGGTAGGCTTCTTATACGTTAAGGGTCTGAGGCTGAGTGGTTTCTTAATTTACTTCTGATCTCAGTAATTAGTTCTGTCTTCTACCATTTGTTGTTTCAAAGGCCCCTCTGAAGTCATCCTTGACAAAAACGGAAAGTGATTCCTGTGATTTGTTTATGTCCTATTTCATGTAGTATGTATGGCTTGCATGATAGTTTCTTGTTTAGGTTTATCTTTAGTGGCCTATTGGGGGCTTTTGAGGCCCCAAGGCGAGGATTATGACTTACGCATTCCCGAGTTATTCCCAAGCGCCCAGCTGTTGAGATGAGACTGAAGGTAGAGCTTTGGAAGGTGTCAGTTTGATGACTGAGTCACCTGAGGCAGGAGGAAAAGTGACCTGGTATTGACTGGGTTTTGAAGAAAGCTTGACTTAAGTTTGGGAACAGGACAAGGGGTCAGTAAAGGACATGGGGGGGGTGGGAGAAAGGGGTACCTCTCCAGCTTGGGAAGCAGCAGGGCTGGCCCCTAGGTTCTCCAGTCCAGGACAGACACTGGCAACTGGGACCAACGCTGGTTAGACTTCGGCCTCCCTTGCGCATTTTCTTTTCATTTTCAGTTTGGTTGAAAAGTCTAAAGTGGAACGGAGTTTCTTCCTGAACCAGCGAGTTGAGGGGAAGGCAAATTTCTGGTGCTGACTCCGACAGGTGGTCTTCAGTGGGGGGTCACACAAGTGGTTTGTTTTTCTCATCTGGTCCCTTTATCCTGGTCTTTGGCTTGAAGTAGTTTAGGCTTTACTATAGGAAGGTATGTGTACTAAAGGGGGATATTCTGGGATGGCCCCTGAGATGTGATTTAAGGTGAAATTTGGAGAAAAAGGTGTCAGCGAAGAGTTCTCAGAAGGAACAGCAAGTGCTAAAGCTGTGGCTGACAAGAGCTTGGGACGTTTAGGGCCTGCCAGAAGATGACTGTCAGAAGATAGGCGGCCGGGCCTCGTCAGCAGGGTGGAGGAGGAGGCAGGAGCCACAGGGGGCGGGCCTTGTGGCCAGTGTAGGGACTGGGATCTGTTCCTGCACAGTGGGGTGCTGTTGGGGGATTTAGGCTGCGCAGGGATTTGACCTGACGTTTGGCAGCTGCAGTGGAAGGGGACAGGCTCCTTAAGAGGCTGTCGAGCTAGTCTGGGCAAGAGCTAGTGGTGGCGGGAGTGGGTTCGGGGCTGGTAGGGCTGCTGGGGGACTGGATGTGAGGGCGAGGTGGTGGGCAGAGAGGAACTGAGAACGACTTACGGGTGGATGACAAGCAACGGGAGGGGAGCAGGTTTGTGGAAAGCCCACGAGTTCTGTTTTGCCATGTCGTCTTTTTGCTCAGGAAACACTGGAGAGGAGATGGCAGCTGGGGCCTGGAGGGTGAGCCCGGGGTTCACGGAGGGCTGGGCTGGGGCTCGACACTTAGTGTCACCGACTCCATGAAGACGGGGGATGCCATCCACGGCCCCAGTGGGTATTTTGGCCTCTGATAGGAGGGGGCCCTTCCTTTGTAAAGAGGAAGGAAGGATGCCCTGGCTGGTGTGGCTCAGTGGATTGAGTGGCTGGCCTGCGAAACAAAGGGTTGTCAGTTTGATTCCCAGTCAGGACACATGCCTGGGTTGCAGGCCAGGTACCCCAGTGGGGGGTGCTCCAGGGGCAACCACACATTGATGTTTCCTTTTCTTTCTCGCTCTCTTCCCCTGCCTCTAAAAATAATAAAGTCTTAAAAAAAGAAAGAGAGAGAGGAAGGGAGGAGAACAGGTCTTCAGCTGAGTCTGTAAGCCGGCAGGGAGGTGAGGGTGAGGGAGGGTATGTCCTGTGGCTCAGTAAACACGTAAGAGAAAATGCTAAGATTTCCCTCTAGAGGTGTGTGCTTGTGCATATAGGGTGCATCTGGCCAGGTGCCCTTTGTGTGACTTTGTATGACTTGGGTACAGACACAGAAAGGGGTAGCTGGGTACACCCAGGGTGTCCGTCTGGTCTGTATAGAGGGAGGAGGGATTTCAGCTGAGGATATTTGCAAGGGAGTAATTACAGTGACGGGCCCTTCACCCTACAGTGCACTTCAGTCTTGTCCAGGTAGCCTTTCTGAAAGTGTCTTGCTGTCATCCCCTAGGCACTGGCTCTAGGAAGGATACGCAGCCTTGCAAATCTGGGGTCAGTATGTGAACAGGTGCCTCTGGTGCCAGGGCCCTGCCAGGTGTGGCACGGGAAGCTCAGCACGAGCATCCCAGCACTTAGAAACGCAAGGGTCTTAGAGCTCGTGTGGAATAGCCCAGCCTCCCAGTTTAAATCTCTGTAGCGTCAGCCGCAGGCTGCCCCTGCTTAGGCACTTGGGTTGAGGAGGAGCTGTGCTTTGAGAAACAGCACGTGACAGCGCTGTTGTGCCCCTTCGGTCTCCACGCAGCTGCTTGTTTCTAGGACCGAGGCTCAACTGGCTCAGGTCACCTGCAGGCCAGTCCTCGCGGACATTTCCTTGTCCTGTCAGCCCTTGGACGAGGGGCACAGGAGGTGCTGAACTGGCAGGCGGGACTGGGAGCTGACTTGTCTTCAGTTAAATAACCTTTTAGCCAACAATACAGGCCTCATCACGGCTTTTTAAAAACCTTGGTTCTGTAATGTGCTAGTTGTCCTCCCCAAAGTTGTGTTAGTTCCAATTTTTATAAACTGTCTTCCAAAGGGATATCATGAGAGACTTTAATAAGATCCAGATGTTTGTCTACGACAGCCGTCCAGTAACCCTGTTAAAAAAGCAAAGCCTTGGCTGGCTGGCTGAGTTGGTTAGAACGTCGTGCCGTACACCAGAAGGTTGTGGGTTCGATCCCCGGTTGGGGCGCGTGTGGGAGGCAACTGGTCGGTGTTTCTCTCACGTCAGTGTTTTTCTCCTCCCTCTCTAGAATCAGTGACTGTATGCTCAGGTGAGGATTTAAAAACAATTTTTTAAAGGAAATCGGCTTATTTGTAGTGAAGTCATGTGGCTACCTAGTTAGTGATCATCGTTTTAGGTAACTAGTCAGACAGCATGTTCGATGAGCCCTTGTGGAGTTTTTTAAATTGTTACACTTATTTGTCTGACTTGAAAATTGGAACTTCTGCTGAGCTCAAGTCTCTGGCAACCTTCTGCTTGCAACGTTTTCTCAAAGATCATTGGCAGTGATTCCTTAAGTTTTTCCCGTGTAATTTACTGGAACCAGATCACATGAATTAATTCAGAGGGGCTCAGATTCATGTCCTAGGTTGGTGGTGGTTCAGCTCCTCTCTCCATTCTGGGGACAGTCTGTAGACTGTGCCTTCTTAGACAGGTGTCTGGCTGGCCGGAGCACCGGAGCGGCGGCCCAGTCTGGGGCCCTGTAGCGTGCTCAGTGGTTAGGAGCACGGCTGGACTCAGGCAGGCCTGAGTCGTGTCAGGTTCGCCTCTGCCACCGATGAGCAGTGTGACTGCGACTTCCCTACCTTTGCTAAGCATCGTTTCCTCATCTGTGAAATGTGTGTCTCAGGTGAGGATTAAATGAAGCCTTTAATAAGATGCTTTGTCTTTAGTAATCTCTTCCAAATGCCATTCTTTTTTAAGGACTTTGCTGGCTGGAGCTACTGAGCACACTAGGAACACAGAGAAAGTAACTTGTTTGGCCTCCTAGGACCAGGCAGAAGCACGAGGCACAGACACCTGGCCCCAGACCCTTCCCTGTTTCAGAAGGAGATGCCGGGCATTCTTTGAAAGTTAGAGTGGAGTATTTTGACCTTTGGACTAGTGGGAACAAGAGAGAGCATTCCCTTCCTTTGTGTCTAGACAAGACCTAGGTGAATTATAGGTGATGGCAGATTTATTAGGCAGTGTAGATTGGAAGGGCACACGCCTGGCTCCTTCCTGACTTGAGGGTGGCCTCCAAAGGGTCTCATGCTCTCATCCCGATAAGAAATAGAGCAGAGTGTGGGGCTCCAGAAGGGGGAATGGGCCTGTTCTTAGAAAAAGAGGGCAGGGTCCTGCTTTCCACATATAAGACCACAAGGCCTTGGAGAGTTCCTCATCCTGTGTCTTAGGCCCACCCTCAAGACTATGGCTTCCTCAGCTGAGAGCTGATCTCTCACTCTTGCTTTTGGGGGTGGGCCTAAGACACAGGACCTCTGGCCAGAGGTCAGGAGGGCAGGTCACTAGAACTGACATTCTTTCCACTGCCATTCTTGGGCTGGGGCTGTATTCAATAGGTGGTGCCAGAAATACAGGTGAGCGCATTGGGCTTCTGAGGCCTGAGGCCTTGACCTCTATGGCTAGATTATGCCAGGATGTAGTTGGGTCTATATTCTGCTGGCAGGAAGGCAGCATTTCTGCCAGGGTCGAGTGGGAAATAACGTGTGGTAGGGTGGGAAGTTGAAGTAGAAAAGGGATTGGAGGGTTAAACAGGCCATATTCCCCTGTTGCTTTTCATTCTAGTAGGAAGAAGGGTATGAAAGGTGGCTGGGGCTGGGGAATGTGGGGGTCTCCAGCTGAGCTGGCTTTTGCCAGAAACCTGGGTGGCAGATAAAATCATGGAGGATGGAGAGGAGATTCCTTGAGATCACGCTGGGGGGCCTGGGAAGTGATAAGATCCGTGAACGATGTCTTTTTGTTCTCTCCTAGCTTCCATTCTTGCCCAGGGTTCTGAGTGGAGGAGGGAAGCATGAAGTCTCAGCATCCATGAGTGCCTGATGCCACCCTCATCCCAGCCCCTCATGGGGCAAGGATGGGGCAGATATGGCCACTCCTTCTTTGCCATGGCCATGATCACAGTGGTGGTATCAGCCCTGATTGGGAACCTGGGGGGCAGCATGCCCAGTGCCATGCATCTGCCTAGCTGTGGGCAATGTGTTGGACTGCGGGGGCCTCTACCTGCTCAGCCTACCCCCCAGGCCTCCTGACAAGAGTCTGGCCCTTGGAGTTGAGCCACCTGTTAGGTAGCTCCTTCCGGGGCCTGTGGGGACTGAGGGTGCTGCTGCTTTCTTGCCATGTCCTGTGGGATCGGGCTAATGGAGCGCTGGGGCGTCTGGGTTTCCTGTAGTGGCTGGACAGCCAGATGGCCTGCCTGCCCCCAGACTTCCCAGCCCCCTGGCCTCTTGCTCCACCTAGACCTCTCAACCTGCTTGCCCTCCTGAACCCCTGCAGCCTGTGGGGCCTGGGAAACCTGGAACAGCTTGACCTGAGCCACAACCAGTTGGCTCAGCTGGGCACAACTGGGCTCAAGAGCCTCTTCTGCCTACACTGGCTCTCGCTGGCTTGGAACCAGTTGTAGCAAGTTGGGTATGTGGGCCTGGCCACTGTGCCAAGCCTGGCAAGCTGGAAGCCAAAACCTTGCTGTGCTGCAGGTGCTGGGCCTACTCTCTTGTAGGCAACAGGCTGCAGCACCCTTGAGTTCAAGGTGATGGTAGGCATCTGGGCAGTGGGCACGCAACTGCTGCTGGCCAGTAACCTATGGGTATGCGACTGTGACCTGCAGCGGGCCTTTGGTAAGCTGATTGGCATTTGCATGTAGCCAACCTGGGCAGCTTGACTTGTGTTGAACTTGGAAGGCTGGTGGGGGCAGTGCTGAGCAGTATGGGGCCGGGCTCTGGCCAAGACGGCTACTGTGATGGGTATCACGGGTACCCTGCTGGTCACCGTGACTGTAGCTGCGGTCACGGCCGAGTAAAAGTGTAGGTGGTGTCCCCAGAGGAGCTGGGGAGCCCTCTGGAGAGGTAAGGGGGTGTTGCAGACGGAATTTGATGCAGCCGGATTAGGGAGAGCAGAAGGAGCGGTGGGAGAGGAAAATGGGTGTTCCTCACGAGTCTTAAGGACTCAGTTGTCTGCCCACTCAGGGGTAGGAGGAGCGGTGGTGGTGTGAGGGACAAATGGCTGTGTCCACCTCAGGTGCTCGTAGTCTTAACTTCAGTACTGGAAGATTAATTTGTGTTGTAGGATGGTGGATGGGGTGCAGGAAGATGGGTGGGAGCAGCTTTGCAGTGGCAGTCCCAGAATGCCCAGAACTTTTACCCAATTTTTAATTCACGAACAATTACTAAGTACTACAATGAATAAGACATAGTCGAAGCACCTTTTATTTGCATATCCAGCACATGTTTCCTGACCACATTGTGTATACCAGGCTCTGGGGATACAGTAGTAAACAAACCAGACACTCCTTGGCCTGGAGCTCACAATCTAGTGTTACTCTAGTCATTAACAGAAGAATCACAAATATATAAATATGCCAGTGTGATTAGGGATTCAAAGGAAAGGTGCCTGATAGTTACAAAAACAAAGTGGAGCTGAAGTTTGTTTACACAATGGAATACTACTTAGCAGAAAGAAAGAAAGGATCTCCTACCCTTTGCAGCAGCATGAATGGAACTGGACCGTTATGTTGAGTGAAATAAACCAGGTGGCGAAAGACAAATACTGTGTGATCTCACCTATAAGTGGAACCTAGTGAACAAAACAAATGAGCAAAATAGAACCAGAAGCGTGGAAACATGGAACACACTGACAGGAACCAGTGGGAATGGGGAGGATGAGAGAAAAGGAAGGGAATGAATGGCCTAGTTAAAGAACAAGTATGAATAACCCTTGGACATGGCAACAGGGTGGGGATTGACGGGCGGGGTAGGGGAGAACAACGGAAAATTCAGACAACTGAAATATAACAATAAAAAATAAGGGAGCTGAGCACAAGAGAGGGGGCTCAGTTGGAAACCTGCTGCAGTTAAACACAAAAGATGGTAGCTGGTGCTAGAGTGGGACTATGGGAGCTGAAGAAAATGGGCTGAGATGCCCCACATGTCCACACCAGATCTCCCTTATAAGGGACTTAGGAAAGGCAGGCCAAGACCAGGGTTCTCTAAGGTGACTTAGGAGGACCCCCTTTGAACTTAAAAACAGAAGCAGAGGATTTCCTCTGGCTTGAGTGTGTACGCACACACTATGTGCTAGAACCAACACTGTCACATTTAAACCTCACAACAACCCTCAGGTAAATGTCACTTGCGTTTCACAGATGAATTTTGGAAAGTATAGGCAGCATGCTCAAAGTAACGGTTAGAGTTAGGGTTGGGGCCCCAGTCTAGCTGCATTCAAAGACTAGTTTGTTACATTGCATCAAGTTCACCTAAAGTCCAGAACTGAAGAACGAGAGCGTTGTTTCCTGACGGAAAGGGTAAGAGGCAAACTCCCTGAGACCGGAAGTTACGTTTGGCAACCCTGCTCCGCCTCTCTGCCCGGTTTGAGGCTACAGCGGACTGCCCTTCCCTAAAATGGCGTCGAAGGTGGGTTCGCGACGGTGGATACTGCAACTGCTCATGCAGTTGGGCTCGGTGTTGCTCACTCGCTGCCCCTTCTGGGGCTGCTTCAGCCAACTCATGCTGTACGCCGAGAGGGCCGAGGCGCGCCGGTAAGCGGGCCCTTGCAGTGGGAGATGGCGCGGCGTGTCCCAGGAACGGGGGTGCGGTGAGGTGGGGAAGGTGAGGGGGCCCAGAAGTTGCGTCCCTTGGTCTGGGAGGAATTGGGATCTCGGAGTTGTTAGGGTGCCTGGCCCAGAGCAAGTTGGGCTTACAGCATAGTGCCGGGGGACCTGGCTGTGAGAGGGGGCTCTGGTTTGGAGGAGCAGTGGAGCTGGCGGGACTCAGGGGGTCTCAGCGCTCTTCTTTCCACTTCATTCTGTCCCTGTTGCTTACCCCTTTCTGGTTTGCAGGAAGCCCGACATCCCAGTGCCCTACTTGTACTTCGACATGGGGGCAGCTGTGCTGTGCGCTAGTTTCATGTCCTTCGGAGTGAAGCGGCGCTGGTTCGCTCTGGGAGCCGCACTCCAGTTAGCCATTAGCACCTACGCCGCCTACATCGGGGGCTACGTACACTACGGGGACTGGCTGAAGGTGAGCTCCTCGGCCCTGGGCAGGACTTGTCTAGGGTGTTGGGGAGCCCAAGGCGTGTGGAGATTCTTGCAGACCGCACAAATAGAAGGACCTTAGAGACCACACAAGTCTTCCTTTCAGACTGTGGAAACTGAGGTCCAGATATGGGAAAGAGACTTACCCAAAGTCACGCCACAGCATTACAGGTGGAACCAGCACTCAGGTCACCTGAGTTCTAGAACCCTTTCAACCATTAGTTTAGTAATCTCAGGCTCAGGGCAAAATGAACCTTGGAGAGTGCCTGGTCCAACGATCTGATTTTATGAAATTTAAGTAATCCCAGTGCGTCATTTAAGCCTGTATGTGACAAACCTGTGCCAGACATTGTGGGCTTGGAGATGGGCCTGGACAAAGGCACTGTCCTTGAAGGAATGGGCCATCTGTCCAGTAGGGGTGGCAGAGGTGTGAGCAGCTACAGGACAGTGAGGTCAATGGGTTTTTATGGAACAGACTGTGTTGTAGAGCAGGAAGAATATTGGAATTCCAGTCTGCAGGTCGGGGGTGGGAAGGAGACAGTGCTTGGCATCTGGGTTCTGCCACTTTCTGTAGGAACTTGGACAATTTTATTAACCCCTCTGGGCCACTTCTGATAAAAAGAATTGTCTGTTTCTGCTGTACCTGCCCACCACACCTGGAAAAGGTAAGAGGGTTTATCAGATGGAAGGGGATGTGTAGAGGACACTTCTGCGCTCTGGGCAGTCAGGAGATAAATGGCAGTAGCAGTTCCTAACGGGGGTCCCCCTTGTCTTGGCCTAGGTCCGTATGTACTCGCGCACAGTTGCCATCATCGGTGGCTTTCTTGTGCTGGCCAGCGGCGCTGGGGAGCTCTATCGTCGGAAACCGCGCAGCCGTTCCCTCCAGTCCACTGGCCAGGTCTTCCTGGGCATCTACCTCATTTGCGTGGTAGGTTGGGGCACTGTAGACTAAAGGCGCTTGACTGGGAGTGAAATGTGAGCCTGTGCCTGGCAGAACCCAGGGAGATGGGCAGAAGAAGGCATTGCATGTGGGTCCTGATGCCTGATCCTGGGACTTGCTGCTGCCGGCACTGGACCTCAAAGGCCCCGGAAGTACCTGAGTCCTGGCCAGTGTTCTTCCAATATTATTGCCACCAGTGGGAGAAAAGTTTGGACTTGCCACTCAATCCCAAGTGTGAGAGCCAGAACAGGATGGACCGTTCCTCCCATGGCTCTGGCTCCCAGAGGACTGGGAAAGGAGACAAAGGAGAGATTTGGTGGGGTTCAGGCCCCAGCTGTGACTCCACCAGTCAGAGCTGATGGGGCCTGCCTAGAGTAGCCAATTACGGTCCTCCCCGGTGCCCCTAGGGAAGGCCAGTCTGGATGGACAAGTGACCAGGCTACTTGGCCTGCTCTTAGTTACTGGGCACCATATTGCATGCAGAGCTCTGGATTCAGAGGTGAGATCCTCAGTATGACTGTGGAGACACACCTCCTATGTTCTGAGCTCCCAGGGAGAGGAGAGACATAGGCCCTAATTTCATGAAGCCCCCTAGTCTGAGGGGAAGACGCAGGCCTTACTTTCAGAGAGCCCCAAGTCTGAGGGGGGAGTCAGAAGCCCACCTTGCAGGGGCTGAGTTTCAGGTGCCATCCCGGGCGGGCTTCCGTCAGGCTCCTCTTACAAGATGGTGTGTCTCCAGGCCTACTCGCTGCAGTACAGCAAGGAGGACCGGCTGGCGTATCTGAACCATCTCCCAGGAGGGGAGCTCGTGATCCAGCTGTTCTTCGTGCTGTATGGCGTCCTGGCCCTGGCCTTCCTGTCCGGCTACTACGTGACCTTGGCTGCCCAGATCCTGGCTGTACTGCTGCCCCCGGTCACGCTGCTCATCGACGGCAATGTTGCCTACTGGCACCACACGCGGCGCGTTGAGTTCTGGAACCAGATGAAGCTCCTTGGGGAGAGTGTGGGGATCTTTGGGGCTGCTGTCATCCTGGCCACTGATGGCTGAGTCACACAGGGAGAGGCTGAAACGGGTGCGGGGAGCCACGGAGGGCCACCCTACCTTTGTGCTGGCCCGGTTATGTTTATTTATACTCTTTGGTTTGTTTGTTTTTTATCCTTCGCTCTGTGTATATGTGTACGTGTTGGCAATAGGCAGGTCTGTTCCCCAGTTCCTGGGCTCAGCCCTTGATGAGGGGAGCCCTGAGGATGATGCCTTACAGGGTGGTGGTGGTGTTTTGTTTTGTTTTGGTTCGTTTTGTTTTCCTGTTTGTTAGGAGGAGAGCTGCGGCTAGCTGCTCCCCTGGGTCTCATGCCTCAGAAAACAGAGTAAGGCGAGGCGAGGGTGGGGTACTGAGAGTGGGAGGCAGGGGAAGGAAGACTAAGAATCAGAAGGGAGCAGAAGTGAAAAATCCTGTTTGGAGCCGGGCAGACGCAGCCAGACTTTGCAGTGCTTTTTGGAGACCGAGAGCGAGCGTGCATGTTGACACAGGGATCAGGCCCAGGAGGAGCGGAGAGACTGGGCTCCACAGCAGTTACACGGGTTCTTAGGGTAGGCGAGGGGCAGAAATGGCACTCGCGGCCACCCGCCTTGAGAGCAGAGCAGGCCCCAGACTACTCAGGTGTGAGGGGCGGGGCAGGCAGGCCGGCTTCCCGCCTTCTGCCTTCTGTTGCCAGTTCCTTGGTCGGCCTGGTGGGAGTGAGTGCCCTCCCAAATACCAGACCACACAGTCTTCCAAAAATAAACATTTTATACAGACATTTGGCTTTGCTTCTCTGTTCTCTTCTCAGAGCACTTTGCCATTGGCTCGGATTGATCTTGTGTTTCTAGAAAGACCGTATCTGGTTAACCCCCACCAAGGTCCTCCTGTGATCTTTCCCCTGCTCTGAGAGTTCCCATAGTCCTTTGGCTCTCTTTTCAAGGATCTCCTGATCTTCCCTGTAGCACATTCTTGTGATCTCTCACCTCAGTCCCTCTTGTAGCTTATTTTTCCTCCCATTTGGTGTCAGTTTGTTTGTTTTTTTAAATATTTTATTTATTTATTTATCTTTAGAGGGGAAGGAGAGAGGGAGAGAAACATCAATGTATGGTTGCCTTTCATGCGTCCCCCTGCTGGGAACTGGCCTGCAGGGAACCAGCCTGCAACCCAGGCATGTGCCCTGACTGGGAGTCGAACCACGATCCTCTGGTTCGTAGGCCCGCGCTCAATCCACTGAGCTACACCAGCCAGGGCTGGTGTCAGTTGTTTTTGATGAAATCCTTGGTGAGGGCAAGTAGAGGGAGAGAACTAACACTGAGGATCCAAGGATTTTACAGTTTACAGATGAGAAACCGGAGACTTGGGGAAGGCAGCACCTTGCCTTGAGCCACAGGGCAGACCCAGCCAGAGAGCTGGACGCCAGGTCAGGTCTGTCTCATGCCCCTGCCCCGTGCGTCCTGAACACCACCCCTCTCCTGGGAGCAGACAGAGGCTGCTTCTGGGGTTCGGTTCCCTCCCAGCCCCTGGTGTGCTGTGGTGGCCTCTTAAATGAACTTCTCCCTACCAGTCCGTGCATCTCCTGGCAGGAAGTAGCCCCCACAGCCAGTGTGGGCCTGGCATGTGATGGGGGCAGAAATGTCCAGTGAGACCTCCAGCTTTGGGCTGCTGCCCCTCCGCTCCCCCCGAGATGGAGACACAACCTCCAGGGGCCCAAGGGGAAGGGGTCCAAGTCTGGGCCTGGTTCCAAGCCCTGCCTGAAAAGGAGCAGGGCTGCTGCCATTGGTCTGGCCCATGGAATGGAGGGTGTTTCCCGACTTAGGAGCAGGGGCGCCCTCCGGGGGCTGCACTGAGGGACGTGGTTGCAGGGTCCAGTCCATCGTTCGGCTCCTCTGTTCTCTCTGGGAACCCCCGGTTCTCCAGCCCTGGAGATCTTGCTCCCAAAGGGTGGCTGCTCATTTCCTTTCAAGTGTGAGCTAACTCTCAGACAACAATTCACATTTTAATCAAAGCCTCCTGAAAGGTTGGAAAACCCAAAGGAATTAAAATGAGTGGTGGAATATCAGGCAGATAGGGGTGATATTTGGGTCAAGCAAGCCTCAAAACACAGCACAGAGGCCACAGAAACTGACTTGTTCTTAAGGTTAGCCCTGAGCAGAAGAATCCTTGAAGGCAAGCCCTCCCCTGCCCCCTCCCCCAGATCCCTAGACTGAAAGTTGAAGGCCATCCGGTTGTGACTTTGGAGCAAGTGGGGGTCTTGGGTGGACCCTTCTCCTTCCCATGCTTGTCCCACTTTGCCCTCCACCCCTGGGCAGAGTAGAGTAGGGGCTGCTTCCTCCTCTGCGGAGCACTCAGACAGCAAACCAGGTCCAGCCTGCGGCTGCCTGGGGTCACTTCCAGCAGACGTGGCTTTTGGTCCACCCTGGCTGTCCCAGGGCCTGCAGGGCTGGTGGTGAGGGTCAGCTGCCTGGGTCGGAAGCCGGCTTGCAAAAGGAGTCTGGCAGCCCCTTGGCATGGTTGACCAGCTCATAGGAGTCTCGAATGTCAGCCAGGCCGAACCAGAAGAAGATCCAGTGCTTGTTGGAAAAGCTGCCGTCACTGTGCTTGAAGTACCTGGTGGTGGTGGCAGCTCTCAGTGCAAGGCCAGTGCTCCTCTCCCACCAGGTCATTTACTGAGGGGCTGCTGGGGGCTGGGGGCTGCTGTCGGATTTGATCCTCACAGCAGCACCTAAGGGCCCGGGGGTGGAATGCTTTCACAAAGAGGCAGCTAAGAAAGCCCAGAGCAGCCATGGTTAGAATGAGGAGACACCCCTTGCGCTCCATGCACCGCCTTGGCTTCGCAGCCAGGGAAGGGTTTCTTGTTCAACTCTTGGTGCCCACATAACAGGGCAGTGGGGGGAGAGGGGATAGTTGCTGATGGAAAGAGAGAACGGGGTTCTGCTGGAGAAGCAGTGAGCCTGAGGTCCGAGTCGGCAGTTGGGCCTGGCGTAGAGCCTGAACCATCAGGGTTTCTGGGAGCCCGAAAGGTGGCGGTGGGGAGGTGTCGCTTCAAGGCATCCGCCGCCGCGGGGCGAGGGCGGTGGAGTGTGTTCCATGTGGTCTGCCTCTGAGGAGATCTCAGACTGTGTGTGTGGTCCTGGAGACCTGGGGCCCCAGTGGGCAGGGTCTTTCCGTGAGGAAGGACAGCTAGTGAAAGGAGGGGACACCTAGCCTTCCTGGCTGGTGGATCCCTGGGGTGTGGCTGGCACAGGCTGGGGGTGGGGGGCGGTGCCCAGCCCGAGCAGGAAGGGGTAGGACCTACCAGGGATTGATGGGGTTAGTCACCCGGGAGCGCCAGAAAAGTGTCTGCAGGTCCCGCCGCAGACACTCCCACAGCATCTGGCCGGAGCCTTGACCCTGGCGGCTGGAGCTCACCACAAACTTGTCCAGATACGGGGTGCCCCCCAGTACGGGCTCTGTGGTCAGAATGGCGGCAGCGTTGTACCTGGTGCAGCGGGAAGAGTCAGGCTGGCATGTCTCCTTGGTCCTAGTGCCCTGCTCCGTCCTTTGGTCCCAGCCCCCTGGGGCCCCCAGGCTCACCTTTCAGAGACGTAGACAGAGTGTAGCCGTGGGCGCAGCGAGGCCAGGTAGTCGTCTCGGAGCTTCTTGCCGAAGCTGGTGTTGACCAGGTCCACCAGGCGGCCCTGGTCCAGGCTGTCCAGGCTGCTCACCCGCAGCATCCGCTCGCCATTCTTGAACAGGGTCCCGGACCCTGGGGGTGTGATGGGAGGGAAGGGGTGAGTTTCGTCTGAGAGCTAGGTCCCATCCTCTCCTTGTCTGGGTGGCCTGGTGGGGGTTCCAGACGGGATGGGGGCTGGTGGAACAATTACTCTCGTTGGGAGGTCTCCCCAGTGAAATGCTTTCTGTGGTCTGCGTAGATTTTGAGTGTGATTTTCACTCAGGGAGATGCATTTCCCGGGCGGTTTGTCCCTGAAGTTCAGCCCACCGCCTGTATTCCCACCTACTTCCCCTAGTCCCACCCCCACTTGCCCACATCTGCTAGTCTGGTCCATTCCACCTGGTTCCAGTCCCCCGAGCTCAGCCTCTATGCTCCCCCAAGTCACGCCCACCTGTCTAGTTCCATGCAAGTGGCCAATCAGTCTTGCGCACCTTGCTCACCTCTGCCAGGTTCAGCAAGAGCTGGCGGCCTCTGAGGTGCAGTCCCCCCAGGTCTTATCGGGGGAGGCCGCTTCTCCCGCTCACCCCACCCCAGTCAGCAGGTGCTCAGTCCCGGGAACCAGGCCCCGCCCACCCGCTGTCATTAACCTTTGTTGCTGAAGAGCTCGGTGAGCAGTGTGCTGGCAGCGGTGATGGCAGCCGAGGAATGGTGGGGCAGTCGGCTGAGCACGTCCACGATGAGCCGAATCTGCTGCTGTTCCTTGGTGCTCACCCACTTGGCACTGGTCACCAGGTCCAGGTCACCAGGCAGGTTCACATTACTTAGGACCTGCATCCAGGGCTTGAGAATGAGCCTCCAGCCCACAGCTGGCCTTGGACCACCCTACCCTGGGGACCCCTCCTTGCCTCCTCCCAGAGTCCTTGGCCAGAGGGGTCTCAGACCTGGGCACTGCCAGCCGAGTCCCTCTCTGACACCCCATTCTGGACCCGTGAGGCTGGAGAGGGGCTCACCCAAGCCAGGAGTTGTGAGGAGTGGGGCCCTAAGGGGGCGGGAACACACCTTGTGGCTGCTGTCGCGCAGGCCGCCCGTGTTGTTGAGGAAGATGATCTTGGTGGGCTGCAGCTCCTTGGCCAGCGCCGCGGTCACCTCCAGCGAGTCAAGGAGCACTGAGCGACGCGCAGTCGTTTCCCCAATGGGGCAAAGGATGGGGATGCTGCCCGACTCCAGGCACCACTGCAGCAGGTCGGTCTCCACGGAGACGATGCCCCCGTAGCTGTGGGCCAGACGCAGTGTTGGAGAGGGCCTCCCCCAGGCCCCCTGGCTGGGGCGGTACGGGCCGGTCCTCCGACTCTGCAGCAGGCAGGGCGGGCACTAACCTGGCATGGGGGGCTGGCTCAGCGGCGCTCAGCACCGACCCACCACCGAAAAAAGGCACAGCCGTGGCTGCGTTGCGCCGCAGCTCGTCCACCAGCACCTTGCAGTTCTGTGCAAGCTGTGCCTTGGCCTCCCAGAAGGAGAGGCAGCCCGAGGGCGCCGTCGGAGAGGGCAGCCCCAGGACCACCAAGGGCTTCATGTCCATGCGCTGCAGGAAGGCCAGGGCGAAGGCCAGGCTGGACACGCCCTGCTGGCACTTGAGCACCTCCTCCTCCACCTGCGCAGGAGCGGGAGTGTTCAGAAGGCGGGTGGTGGGTCCTGACTCCTGCTGCGCCCTCAGGGCCCTCTAGGTGCCCCCACGCTGCCTCGGAGCTGTCAGGCCCTGTTCTGGCCACCAGCGCCCACCTGCTCCGCCCTTTGCCCCGCGGGGTCTTGCCATCCCCTTATCTCACACTAGTGTTCCTCCCTCCGCTCCTCCCTGAGACCTTGGACTCTAGGACACTTTGCAGGGAGGGTGATGCAAGTGGCCCTTGTCCAGGTTCCTCATTTGTCATCTGAATGGTGCCCATGTCCGGTTCTCCCGAGCCTCACACTTGGCGGGCTAGTGTACCAGGCTCCGCGCTCAGGCTAGGTGCCAGACTTTTGGAAGAGCTCAAAGCCTCGCCCAGTCCCGGGTGCTCGTCGGTGTCCGGGATCCTTTCAGCCCCTTGCTGGCTGCACTGTGCGGCATCTGCTCCCGGTCCTGCCTGCCTGGCTATAAGTCGCCACACAACCCCCCACACCCTCGCTGTGACCCAGCAGGAGCTGGGATCCTCTCACCTCCATAACGGCAAAGGGCTTGTCCGCAGAGTGGTGGGGGGTCTGGAACTGCGTGAGCCAGTGGCGCGCCTCCCCAGGGCTGGCGCCGCACTGGTTCAGGAAGGCTTGGATGTCCCTCTGTACCAGCGAGCGGCCGCCTAGGGGCCCGGGAGGTTCGGGGGGCACCGGGGGCACAGGGGGTGTCGTCCACAATGGCTTGTTATCCGTAGGTGAGTGAGCATCGTCTTCAACATCCACGGCCTCTTCTACTGCTGACTGGGCGGGCGCCCAGGCCGTGCTGAGCCGGTGCCCCGGGCTGGCACCCCTCGCCGCCCACCGCCGCGCGCTGCCGCTCAGCCTTCTCCGAGCGACCCCAGTGCCTCCAGAACTACACAGCCTGCCCACCGCGGTGGTGGCCCGGAGGGTCCAGGCCAACTGCATCATTGCCATGACAACCAAACCAGCTCTCCCCACCACGAGTGACGAGTGACCGCCTGTCCAGAGCTCTGGGGCCCTCTTAACCTGCCGCAGGACGGGGCTGGCTTGTGGCGTGGGGGGGGGGCTCCGCGGTTGGCTCTGGGTGCATGTGGAGAAGTTCAGACTATGGTTCAGACCATGGTTCAGGAGGCGGGGCCCACGGGATCCCCCGCCCCCCGGTGGGGGAGTCGGAACTCTTCCTTTAGCGAGGGTCACGTGGCCGAGATCAAGGATGACGGCTTCTTTAATCTGCTGCTAAGGCGGGTTGCAGAAAGGGCTCAGCAGACCCAGGGGTGACTTTGGGTAATTAAAGGGGAGTCTGACTAAAGCAGGAGGAGAGAGCAGGTGGCGTTTACCCCCGACCCCCACCTCGGATTGAGGGAGGGGACTGAAAGGGGGACTGAAAGGAAGGGGGGAGGGGGGAGAGCGGAGGAGGGGGGAAGAGTGGCAGCCCTGCGGGAGGGCGGGGCACCTCTGCCCTGGGGTCCCAGCTCAGACAAGGTTGGGGTCCCGAAGTTGCTAGGGTTGCCAGGCTTCTGGCCCTGAGTACTGCCTTGAAGAAGGATGTCATATCCTTAAATTACCCCTTATTAGGGTTAAACATTTTCTTTTTTTAGAGAGAGGGGAAGGGAGGGGAAAAGAGAGGGAGAGAAACGTCAATGTGTGGTTGCCTCTCACGTGGCCCCCACTGGGGACCTGGCCAGCAACCCAAGCATGTGCCCTGATCGGAAATCGAACTGGTTTGCAGCCCATGCTCAATCCACTGAGCTGCACCTGCTGAAGCTACATTAAACATTTTCTTTAGATTTATCCATATCAGGACTGCAACTAGAAGGGCAGGGGCATGGACCACAAACAGAAGAAAGCCTTAAGATTAAAGCACAGAACAACGGTATTAAATTCCAGCTGGACGGGGTTACCTGCTCTGTTGGTAACACAGGCTGGGTATTATTATTATCCCCAGTTTACGGATGAGGAACCTGAGGCACAGACGTACGTAAGGGCCCAGGTCACTCTGCTCGGAACCGGTGGAGTTGGTCTTGGACGCACAGCAGTTCCGCTCCAGATCCATGCTCTGAAGCAAGAATCTAAAAGGGTTTGCAGACTGTCACGGGATGTGATTCGTCGTCACTGCTGCATCTGCGTGTTGCCCAGTGTGCTGCCAGCTGCCCGTAGCCCACACCGGGCACACTCTGATCGATGGAGTCCCGCCCTCTGTGCTTGTGGAGGAGGACACAACAGCTGCAGAGGGGTGGTGTCGTGGCCAAGGTCGCACAGCTTTAGTGCCACAGCCAGACCCTCAGTGTCCTATGTCCCCACCCGCCCCTGCTCACGTCTTCCTTTGTGCAGGTCTGTGCCACCCCCCTCCGCCCCCCCCCACCCCCGGACTTGGAGACAGGCCTCCTGGGGCTCTACCTGAGTGGGATCAATGGCCTGGGCTGTTCCTCTCCCGAGCAGCTTGGTGATTGCACGGACCCCTTCTGGGGACCCCTCACCAACACACACACACATGCACCCATGCGTGACCTTTGTGACCTCCTCCATTAACTTTTTTAACTTCCTACTTGGAAAGCCCGGGTCCCAACAGGGAGTGAGGCAATGGCCCAGGGGCCTCTGCCCCCTCCCTTGTGGGGCCACCTCCAGGGCCGCCTTCTTCCTGCTTGACTGGTGCTCCTCCCCCACCCCACCCAACACACACACACTTCCCAGAATCCACCAGAGGAGGTGGTTCTAGCCCCTGCCCTGCCCTCCGAACCTCCAGCCTCTGATGTGTGCCCCCCCCCGCCCTGCCCCCACACTGTAGCAGCCCCTGACCAGAGTGCCCATCCCCCCTGTGTCTCTGCACTCAGGGTCCCCCTGTGCTTCTCTGGGTCTCTGCCCCTGCACCGGCCTTTCTCTCCTTCCCACCCAAGTGTGCGCCCCTTCCAAGGCCCTCCCTCCAGCTGTGGCCGACTCCTGCCTCCTCCCAACTCAGGGCCCCTGTGAGGGCTTGGTCTCTCCCCCCACACTAGGGCTCTTCGAGGGCAGGGTTGATGTCTCCTCAGACTGGGGGCTTCCCGAGGGCCCACTTATTTCCGTTTCAGCCCCATTTCCCCGGAAGGGGTGGGGTGGGGCAGACCCTGGCTGGGGAGCTGCTTCCCACTCTTTGGCTTTAGCCCAGAGGGCCGTGGTCCTGGGCAGCCAATGGGGCGCCGGGGTATCCCGAGTAGATGATTAACTCCAGGCCCAGCAAGTGACCCTGAGTCGTTGTGTCACCACTGCCTCTCCCTGGTTGGGGGCCGGCTGGCCTTCTGGAGGAGCTGAGTGTGGGGGGGGGTCAGCCCCCTGCCTGGCCGCGCCCCTCTGAACTGAAGGCCTGCAGGACCAGCGGTGGGCCGTGGTTCTATCCAACTTTCTGTTCTCCTCTCTGCAGCTGGCTGTTTAGTTTTGGTTTTCAGGACAAAACCTCTTGTCCGTGTGCCCAAAACCAAGTTCCTGGCTTCTCACCAGGCCACCAGGCCTTGGGTGTCGGAGATGCCAGAGCAGACACAACATTCTGAGCCCCCAGACACCTGCCCTCAGCAGGGGCCTCGGCCTACTGCAGGGGCCGGGGAAAGGGCACAGGCTTCCTCATCTAGAGCCCTCCTTGGCTGCCACTCAGTATAGGCAGGTGTGGAGGTGACAGGAACCTGGGCAGGTGAGGACTGGGGAAGTCCCAACCACAGCTCCTGAGGGGAGACGCCCCCACCGACACACTGGGCACACACATGCAGAGACCCGCCCCCTTCTCCTGAGATGCACCCAGATCCACAGGTGTGTGGCCACACAGGTGTGCGGAGATACGCAGAATCCGCCTCGTTGTGACCATCTGCAGTCACGGAGACACCCATGCGCACACAGAGAGAGGTGTGTGTAGACACACAGCTGTACAGAGACTCAGTTTCTCCCAGACACGTCTGCACACAGTCGTGCCCGTCACAGAGGCTCTCAGCCACGGTGTCACCCACAGGGACACACATGCATGGGAAGATACAGAGAACGCACACTCACGCACCTGTGCACCCAGCGGCAGTCACTGACCACTACAGGGACACAGATCTGGAGACATGAACGTACACTTGTGTAAACACACACGCAGTCACAACTACAGTGTTAGGAGCACACAACCCCCCTGAGACCTTCCCCGTCCACCCATGTACAGAGGCTCCTGACCACGCTCGTTCGCAGGCCAGACACCAGCTGGAATGTGAGCGGTGCTCAGAACTGTTCACTGAACGCGTGAATGAATGAACGGGTGAACGAGTGAGGAGAGGACAGAGAGAAAGAAGTGGAGCCTGTGAGAAGCAGAGTTTGGCTCTGCGGTTGGCGGGGTTGGCCCTGGCACTGCCAGGCCGCCCCTTCCGCCTGTGAGGAGGTGGCGGCCAGTGGCCACTGTCTCAGAGTCGCACCTGCAGGCGTGGCAGGGGGTGTACAGGGGTCTTTTCAGTTGACCACTTTTTAAATCTTCCCCTGAGGACATTCTCATTTGCCTTTTTTTTTTTTTTGAGAAAGAAGAAGGAGAGATGCATCGATGAGAGAGAAGCGTCGACTGTCTGCCTTTGTACACGCCCAGACCGGGGATCGTAAGCCTCTGGACCAGGGGTCATACACACCCGTCCCTGGACCAGGGATGAACCTGCAACCTAGGTATGTGCCCTGACTGGGATTCGAACCCTCAACCTTTCAGTTATTGGATGGCACTTCAGCCACTGAGGTACACTGGCCAGGGCCAACCACATTTTTTAAAAAGATTTTGTTTATTTATCTTTAGAGTGGAAGGGAAGGAGAGGGGAAGAGAAATATCAATGTATGGTTGCCTCTTGTGCATCCCCTGCTGGGAACTGGCCTGCAACTCAGGCATGTGCCCTGACTGGGAATTGAACCACGGTTGTTTGGTTTGCAGGCCTGTGCTCAATCCACTGAGCTACACCAGCCAGGGCAGCCAACCACATTAAAAATTTTTTGAGCACATGCTGTGTAGCAGGTGCTGAACTAGGTGTTCTGAGGGTACAGTCCCATTTTTTCTGGCTGGAAGCCTGGGCTCTGCCACTTCACAGACTGCAAAGGTTTGGGCAAGGTGTTTAACTTCTCTGAGCATTTAACTTTTCAGTTTTCTTACCTGTAAAATAGGGGAAAGAGAATAGAACTTAATCTCACTGCATTGTGCTGAAAACTGAAAAGTTCTCCGTGGGCGTGCAGTCGTCAAACCCAGGCTGTGGGGAACTGTACAGGACAAATAACCTGTTTTCTTCAACAAATGAACTGCAAGAAAAGCAGTAGGAGGAGAAAGGATTGTAGATTGAAAGATGTGTTTTTAAAGTCTCCCTTGATCCCATTTTGAATCTGATTCAGCCAAACCATAAAAAATTAGACAGGGACATGTGAGCACAAAGGATGTTTGGTATATTATTTTAGGTGTGGTAATGATTGCATGTTATGTTTTTTAAAATGTTCCATGTCTTTTAGTGTACAGACTGAATATTGGTAGATGAAATGGCTTGATGACTTGAATTTACTTCAAAATAACCCTGGAGGGTAGAAAGCAGAATAACCCTGGGGAACAGGTGCAGCAAGACTGGCCACGACTTAGGAATTGACGCTTGTTGAAGCTGGACGATGGGTTATGGGGATTCATGATACTGCCTCTTCACTTTTACATGTTGTCGGCTCAATTCCCAGTCAAGGAACGTGCCAGCAGGGGGCGCTTAAGAGGCAACCACACACTGGTGTTTCTCTCCCTCTCTTTCACCGTCCCTTCCCCTTTCTCTAAAAATAAATAAACACAATTTTAAACGGTTAAATTTAAAAATAAATAAAAATAAAAACAATCCGAAGAATTGCTGTGTGTGCAAGTTCCCAGTCTGACGTAATGTAAATACTCAGTAAAAGTTAGTTTGCTTCTTTCAGGCATAGTTTTCCTACAAGCCATGAATCTGAAATATTCCTAGATGCTGCACAGGTGCAGAGCACTGCCCAAGGCAGAGGAGGGAGCCCTGTGATTTAGGACGGTCCATTCCAAGTGTGCTATGAGCTTTTTGTCCAGCAGAGGGCTCCCTACTCTCTGTTTCTCTCCGACTACTGCCCTGGTGGTGGGGTGCGGGTTGGGGCAGGCAGGGGTTGTTAAAAGGAAGAGATACTTAGAAGTGTCAGAGAGAGATTGCTGACAGTTAGCATCTGAATAGAGACCTTCTCTCAGAGAAAAGAGACAGGTAGATAAGTAGGTAGGTAAAAGAATTTGTCCACAATCCTATGATAGGAAAGGTCTTCCTACCAGGTTTCAATTTCTGGAGATTGGGGGTATTTAGCAAAGGCTGCTATCTTAAAGATAATAATAGCAAACGCTTCCTCAGGTGCTGTTCCAAGCATGAGACAAGTATTAACGTCTTTAATTCTCGTGGGAGTGCCAGGAAGTAGGCGTTGCCGTGATTACAGAAATCCCAGGAGGCCGGTTTTCGACGAGTGGAGATAAGGTGCTTTCAGGGCTCGGGTGAGGCTTCCCAGCAGCCCTGCGTGTGTGCACGAGCTGCCACGGAGCCCACGGTGGATGTAAGGCATCCAGAGAAGCAGGCCCACCAGGAATCCCCTGGCATCCACAGGCAGAAATGTTTCAGGAAGGAGGATGGCAGCCTGTGATGTAGCCACTTCAAAGCCCGAGTAAAGGCCATTGGCTTCACTCATTACTGGCTCTTCTGAGTCAGTGGGGTGGTGGGGAGCTAGGCTGGGGACGTCAGCTGGCAGAGGCTTGGGGAGGGGCCTTGGGTGGGGGCGGGGCCTTGGGTGAGACCGCAGCATGGAACTCCTGACGGGACTGTGGTCAGAGAAGGAGGCAGAGGCTCGTTACTCCAGCCTGGGCCGAGGCACCGCCTGGGACCTGGTTAGAAAGGTGGAGTCTGGGGCCCCGTTTGGGCCTAGTGAATGAGATCCTGCATTTTCATTAGACCCCTGGGGATTCCATATGTGATAAAGTCCAAAAACCAGGGGAGCAGAGATGTGGGCTGGTCCCTAGAGGTGGTGTTCAATATGAGGATGTCCCTGTGAATCTGAGGCCAAGGAGGAGGTGGGAAGAGGAGGGGCAGGCGCCACCGCGGAGCTGGGCTGAGTGTGGTGTGTGTGCAGGTTGGGGTGCCCTGTGGGACTTGTGGTTAAGGTGGTGTAGTTAGTGCTGGTGGCAGAATCCTGCCCCGTGGTGGGAAGCTCCCGGAGAGGAGTGTGCAGAGGTGTTGCTTGTCTGTGTGTATGAGGTGTGGGGCAGAGTTCATGTGTGTGTTTTGTATGTTTGTGTGTGTTTATGTGTTAAGTCAACTAATGGAAATTTCATATGGTTAATCCTATTAGTGCATGTCCCAAGGTGAGGTGGTGTATAGGTAGGGGATGGTGGGATATCAGGGCTCAGGGAACTGTCATAGTCTGATGAACAGTCAGCCTCTTGGAATTAGGGAACTCAGGGCACAGGCCCAGATCCCAAACTACCCGTTCGTTCTGTCCTCAGTGGGTAGAGGACAGATTGCACTGGGTGCCGGCAAGTTGTAGTTGCACACTATTGCCACAAGGGGGAGACGTCGGCCCGGCCAAGCGGTAGGAGGTCCTGGTGAATCTCTACGGGCATAAGGGGGTGTGCCGGCAATGCTGAGATTCACCCGGGGGACTAGTGGGATCACGCCCTGGGTGACTAGTGTGGGGATCAATTCCTGGTTCCCTCATGCCCCGGCTTACCGCCTCTTCCCCGGGTTCTGGCCACCCCAACCAACGCCCTCCCAGAGCCACCCCACCTTTGCACACCTCTCTTGGATCCGGATACCCCAGCCCGAGGGGCGGGGGCAGAGTGAGGATGCAGCCAAAGGGGGGAATCAGGAGCAAAAGTGTTGGGAGTGGGAGGTTTTTTGGGGGGCAAAGGTGGGAAGAGGAGTCTCAGACATCCACAGTCGGGACACTTAGTGGAACATACACTGTACAGGCAGGGTATTGGGTGAGTGTACCTGAGGAGAGGGCGTGGCCCTTACCTTGATCTGGGGTCAGAATATGCAGGTTCAAGTCCAAGCCTTGGCCGTAGACTGGCTTTGGACTGCCTGTGAGGTGGACCTGCAGTCCCACTGTAGAGGTTCTCCTTGTCTGGCTTCTTGGTGGGGAGAAAGGTCGCATCCCTAGCTACCTTAGTGCGGTGGGGCGGGGGCAGGGCAGGAGAAGGGCAAAGAGGAGGGTGGGCGGAGGTCAGTGGTCTGGGTGCCCATTAGGGAGACCTGGGAGCCACTGCAGGATTTTGAGGAGAGTGGCCCGATCCCAGCTGGACTCTTGGAAGATAACGAATGGATTGAGGGTGAGGTGGGAGTGGGGGTTGGGGGTGTGAGTTTCATTTACGTACGTAATTCTGTTATTCATCCAGGCAAATCTTTGGTGTGGTTTACACTGAACTTCTCAAAGACCAGATTTAGCCTCAATTGATAATATTAATGCATTCGTTCAGGAGTCAGAAACATTTTTTTGCAAAATATTCTTTCTGCCCAGAGACCAGGGGCTTGATAGTAGGAATGGAAAGTGGACCCGGTGGTTACAGTTATTTCAGCATTTAAATAAATAAAAACACAAAAACAGGGGAGGAGGTGGAAAAGGGCAAGGGGGTCAAATACATGGCGATGGAAAGAAACTAAACTTTGGGTGATGAGCACACAACACAGTATACAGATGATGTGTTACAATGCAGTTCATCTGAAACTTATACAATGTATTGTTAAAATATTTATTTATTTATAGAGAGGCGAAAGGAGGGGGAGGAGAAGGAGAGAAACATCAACATGTGGTTGCCTCTCACATGCCCCTACTGGGGACCTGGCCTGCAACCCAGGCACATGCCCGGACTGAGAATTGAACTGGCTACTCTTTGGTTTGCAAGCAGGCGCTCAATCCACTGAGTCCCACCAGCCAAGGCAAAACTTATACAACCTTATCAACCAATTTATTGAATTTAATAAGAATTTTTAAATCCAACAAAAATAAAATTTTTTCACTATAAAGGTAATTTGGGAAAATTACTGAAACTAGATGAACAAAACCTACCTAAACCAATAATACAGCTGCTAAATATTTGCATTTGATCTATTTCCAAGCTCTTTCTTATACATTAAAAACCCCCACAGCTGTGTTATTATGTACATACAATGAATTTTCCTGGTTTTTCACTCATCAGAATGTCATAAGCATTTTTTGCAAGAGAACAAATCCATTTTCACTCGTTTACTTTCGGCGAGTTTACATTTTTGAGGGTTGCAGCGTTACACGGGTTCTGCGTCCAACGGCCTCCCCAGGTTGGTGCCTTCAGGATTTAGCCTGAGCGCAGCTGCCGTTTCTGTGGCACCAGCTGCCTTCTTGAGATGACTCTGGTTCTGTTCGTTTGCCACCAGGAGTCACTGTGCTGTCCTTTGCCTTGTGCACAAAAAGCTCATCTTTTGCCCGAGAGAATTCAGGTTCAAATCAAGCATAAACACCTTCCATTTTAAGAAGCTGGGTGCCCCCTCTGGTTCTAGGAACCTTGCAAAAATGGCCTGGGACCACAGCCTTCCGGATGTATTTGTCAGTTTAGAAGTCCTGTTCCAGCAGCCTCCACGGGCTCCAGGATGGAAAGAGGAGGATAAAGATCGGGGAAAGAATCCTCACCCAGGGCTATGTTTACTGATTTTAGAGAGAGAGGAAAAGGGGGGAGGTGGGGGGAGAGAGAGATGGTGAAAGAGAAACATCAGTGTGTGAGAGAAACAGACTGGTTGCCTCCTGCATGCGCCCTGACTGGGGATCAAACCTGCAACCTAGGTGTGTGCCCTGACTGGGAATCGAACCCACAGCCTTTTGGTGTACGGGACGATGCTCCAACCAACCAAGCCACCAGGCAGGGGCCAGGGTAGGATAAGCATTTTATATTGCTCCTGCCCTACCGCAAACTGAGTGGCTTAAAACAACAGAAATGTATTGTCTCACAGTTCTGGAGGCCAGAAGTCCAAGGTCAAGGTGCATCAGAGCCACCCTACCCCTGAAATTTGTAGGAGAGAATCCTTCCTCGTCTCTTCTGGCTTTTGGTGTTTGCTGGCAGTCCTGGGCATTGCTTGGCCTGTGCATGTACCACTCCAATCTCTGGTCCCAGGGTCACAAAGCTCTCCTCTCCCTGTGCTGGTCTCCTCTTCTTACAAGAACACAAACCGTATTGGATTAAGTGCCACCTACTCCCCTGCGACCTTAACTAATTACATCTGCAACGACCATTCTGAGGTGCTGGGGTGGTTAGGATTTTCTATCACTTGGGGTGGATACAATTCAAACAAATTCAATCCGTAACACTTTTTAAAAAGATTTTATTTATTTGTCTTTAGAGAGAGAGGAAGGGAGGGAGAAAGAGAGGGAGAGAAACATCAGTGTGTGGTTGCCTCTCATGTGCCCCACTAAGGACCTGGCCTGCAACCCTGACTGGGAATCAAACTGGTGACCCTTTGGTTCACAGCCTGCACTCAATCCACTGAGCTACACCAGCCAGCGCCAATCCATAACTTTCTAACTGGGTCTTAGTGACTGGCTAAGATTTCAACAAGAGTAAAATTCTATTTATTTCATCAAAATGTTTATTATTAAACACTTTATTTGCATCCGATTTATATATGATTACAAATAATACTGTGATGAGCACTTTATGCACAAAACTTTCCCTCATATTGTTGAATTGTTTTTTTTTTAAGGATAGGTATTTAGAAGAGAGCATATCTAATCAAAGTTTATGAAAAGTTTTGATTAGATCGTGGGTGTGGGAACAGGTATGGTGCAAAGAAAGGAGGCACAGACAAGCAAAATGAAGAAAAGAAGAATCACCCCCAGGCCTGTCAGCGCGAGCTCGCTGCTGCCAGTCGGCCACGCGTTTTAGACGCAGGCGCTGCCCACCTTGGTTCCCTGGCCGGGATCCTGCTAACAGTCTCGTCCTGCTTCCCCACTCACCCCCGAACTCGAGACGGTTTCTGTCTCATGAACTTTATGAGCATATTTTGGGCGGCTGCACAGTGTCATAGTGTGGGAATATTGCAAAATGTAATATTGAATATATGCTTTAGATATTTATGACGCTTCCAAGTCTTTATTCTTATAAATAAACCGCGGTGTGTATTTTCTGCACTTGTATCTGTGAATTGAGTCCATTTCAGGAAGTGCCCAGAAACTGAGTTTCTGGGTTAAAAGGTGCGTGGAGAATTAATTTTAACGCTCTTGAATCTTTGAAAGTTGCTTTTCCAAAGGATCATACCAACTAACATACACTCTCGTCAGCCATGAATGGGCAAGTCTGGCTTCACGCCGCACTCCTGCTGACGGTGAGTTTTTATCTTTCTTTCCTTTTTTTCAATTTCACAGTCTCACCCGGTAAAACGCAGCGTCCTCCCATTCTGTCTTGCTTGGTCGCCGGCGACGCTGACCTCCTGTCCTTATGCCGTCCACTGATCTTCGGGGGACCCTGATGTTTCACTTAAACAGTCGTGCCTTCATTTCATACAGAAAAGATAGGAACCCTTCATCATCGCTGCCATGTGGATTTTTGTAGCTTGTCGACTCTTTTATTAAAAAAACAGTCATTGGGACGTACAAACCAAAACAATGGTGTGAGGCCGCCCCCTCCTGTTGGGGTGGCTGCTGTCAAAAACCCCAGAAAGTTCGTTTTGGGGAGGATGAAGGGGGCGGGAACCCTCGAGCACTGTTCGTTAGTGGGGCTGTGAACTGGCCGGGCTGGGGAAAGAGTACGGCAGTTCCTCGGAAAACTCAGATGATGGATGTCTGTATTATGTGTATTTTAACTGCACAAAAGCTGGATAACTGGGAAATAGATATCCACCAAGAAAAAAGTTATTGTGTTCCACTCTGTAAAGCATCTGTGTGCTGGGCGTGGAGAACACAAAAACAGTGCAACGTCAAGGTGCCCAAGGACCCTCGGGTGGAAACAGACCAGCATTCTTGGCACTGCCGTCTGTGCCTTGACAGGCAGTCCCCGCCCCCCCCCAACACACCCGGGAGGCGGGGGGTGGGGGTGGGCATGGACACTTCCTGGTCGAATCTGGGACAAATTAGGAGTAAACAGGGCAAAGAGAGGTGGGTCAGCTCGTGGTCTCGGTCATGTGCTCCCAACACGCACGCAGGCCGGCGCTTCCACAGTAAGGCTGTTGACCTTGTCTGTGTGATTTCTCCCAGTGTTTTTACGCTCCTTAATTTCTCTGAGCTCAGGGGTCTGATCATTTTATTTGTTCCCGGTTTTCTAGGGGTCAGTCGGTTTTGGCATTAGACTCTTTACCTGGAAGTTGTTTCGGTGATTGGGAAGCGGGTAAGGGGCCCTGGTGGTGGAAGGGCGGAGAAGCAGAATGGGACCCTGTGGCCCTCAACCTGCTGCCCTCCTCGACACAGCGGCTCTGGGGCTCCCATGTTCACCGGGTATCCCCGCTGTGGTGGTTTTAGGTGATGGGGTGAGGTGGGTGTGTGGCCGAGCCTGGGGGATCGGAGATGATGGTCCGGTAAGACCCCGTTGGGCTCCGCGTGTGACGGATGCAGAGCGGAGTGCGGTGAGGACTTCCACCGCAGGGAGAGAACAGGACGAGGGGGGGGGTGTGCCATCTTCCCCTGCTGTCCCTCACCTACTGCCCAAGCTGCCACTCCCTACCTGGGCTCTCACTTTCCCCTCCTTGCAAATAGTTTTTTAATCTTTTCATTCACTTGTTTCGGGCTGTGTTCTCACTAGATCATGAGCTCCTGGAGTGCATGCGCCTTGTGTGTCGTGCTTAAGGGGCATTGGATTGAACGAATGAAAAGAAGGAGTGGCCCTGGCTGGTGTGTGGCTCAGTGGGTTGAGTGCCTGCCTGTGAGCCAAAGGGTCAACAGTTTGATTCCCAGTCAGGGCACATGCCTGGGTTTCGGGCCAGGTCCCCAGGAGGGGGTGTGTGAGAGGCAACCGCACGTTGCTATTTCTCTCCCTCTCTTTCTCCCTCCCTTCCCTTCTCTCTAAAAATAAATAAATAAAATCCTTAAAAACAAAAAAGAGTAGCAGCCTCCTGCGGGCCCTGTGGGCACCGAGACTAGGAGTCATTCTGATGCCTGTGGGCAGATTGTTGGATGAGGGGCTGAGGATCTGGACCCCCAATCCAGAGCAGATCCTCCATGGTCTGGTCTAAGGGTCTGCCTTCCATCCGGGGCAAGAAGGCTGAGGGCTGGGAGTCCCTCAGCCACACAAACTCTCTGCAGCTGAGGCTGAGGCTGCTAGGGACTAGGTTCAAAGAACAGGGCCTGGGGAAAAGGGGCTGAGTCACCGAGGTGCTGCTCCTGCTGAGTCTCTGCCTCAGGGGCTCAGAGACATTCATTACATCCAGGAGGAGAAGTAATTAAGCCAGAGAGCAGGAGGGATGGGAGGAGAGGGAAGGCTGATTTTCTCAGGAGGCTTCTGGTGCAGTTAATAAGGGCAGGGGAGGGGAAAGCTCTGCTTGGGCTGGGAGTGTCGGGAATAGAGACTCGGCTTCAGGGCCACAGCCACCCACATCTGTGCTGACCTCAGAGGAGGAGTGGACCTGAAGGTCGGAGGAATGTGCTGGCCTCTGGCCCCACGAGGCAGCCTGGGATAGCGGGGCACAGGCCAGAGCCAGACGTGCTTGAGCTTGGGCCCTGCTATTGCCATTTATTTACCTGCTATGGAACTGGGAGACCAGGGGGCAGGTTGCTCTCTAAGCCTCAGTTTGCTTATCAGTAGAAAGGGGCTAATAACGTGGACCTTGTAGGGTTGCTGTGGAGGTTAAAAGTGAAATGCTCAGCAGTGTGTCTGGCTACAACAAACACTTACAGAGCTGGGATTCAAAAAGTGGTTTGTGCGGCCCGGCATGGGTTTCCGGAGTGAGCAGGCGACTGGGCAGGGGGCAGGAACAGGTGGGCTCCCCTGGGAATGGCCTGGGAGGCTCAGCCCTGGGGCGGGCACAGCAGCCTGGACACAGTTTAGTGGGCAGCTACTCTGGGTTCGTTCTCCATTACCTGTGGTCCTTACCGTGACCTTGCAAGGTATTATTCTTATTCCCATGTACAGATGAGGAAACTGAGGCTCGGAGCAAAGTGGCTCGTTGGAAGTCCATGGGTCATAGAGCTGGGGTTCCAGTTCAGGCTTGTCTCATGTCACAGTCCCCAAAAGGGCCTTTCCTTTAGGCAGCAAGACTGTAGAAACTCAGGGTGCACCTGTCACAGAAACTGCACGAGCCGGTCCTCGGGCGAACCACGGGGAGCGACGTACAGCCAGCCGCCCCCCCCCCCCCGCCACACCCCTGAGGCCATCCACCCCCAACGTACGCTCAGGGCGTGTCTTCAGAAGAGAAAGACCTGGACGCTCACCTCTCTCATGGGCCACGGGGGTGTCCCCACTCAGTTGCCTAATCTTGGAGAATCTGAAATCTGTTCCTCCCAGGAGAACGAAGCCCCGCTTCAGAGGAGGAAGGCAAGAAAGGAGGCGGAGTAGGCGGAGCTTGGGCGAGTGGAGGTTCCTGCGTCAGGGCCGGTCTGGGGCAGCTTGTGGGGAGTCTGGGGGGTCCCGCAGAGCAGCGAGTGAGGTCTCCTCTCCCCGAGAAAACTCCAGAGTCACAGGTCCCTGGTCCAAATTGCCCAAAAGACAGACAAGACAACTCTTTACAGATTATCCATATTTTTTGTATTCATTTCTTGTTTTTTATTTTTTATCTTCACCCAAGGACTGGTTTTTTTTTTTTTCATTGCTTTTAGAGAGAAAGGGAGAGAGAGGGAAACGGTGATGGCAGAGAGAAACATTGATTGGCTGTCCCTGTACCCGCCCGACGGACTGCGGACCATGCGCGCACTGACCGGGGATGGGACCGCCACCCGGGCATGTCCCTGACCGGGAATCCACCCGACGACCTTCACTTAGAGGTCGACTCTCTGACCAACCGAGTCACACTAGCCCGGGCTCATTTCTTGTCCGTTTTTCATTTTCTCGATTAAAACTTTTGTGATTATAAAAGTAATATTCACTGTAAAGTATAAAAATTACAGGGAAATATAAAGAAAAAAAATCATTTGTAATGCCATCTCAAGAGATAGCTACTCTTAATATTTCTATATATAAAATATCCCTAGTGGATTTCTTTTTTAAAAAAGTTTTATTTATTGCCCTGGCTGGTATGGCTCAGTGGATTGAGCACAGGCCTGCGAACCAAACAACTGCGGTTCGATTCTGGGTAAGGGCAGATGCCTGGGTTGCAGGCCAGTTCCCATCAGGGGACCCATGAGAGGCAACCACACATTGATGTTTCTCTCCCTCTCTCCTTCCCTTCCCCTCTAAAGATAAATAAATAAAATCTTTGAAACAAATTATTTTAAAAAGTTTCATTTATTGATATTTTAGAGTGAGAGAGGAAGATAGAGAGAGAGAGAAAAAAAACATTGATATGTTGTGTTGTTCCACTTACTGGTGCACTCACTGGTTGCTTTCTGTATGTGCCCTGACCAGGGATCGAACTAGGAACCTTGGCATGTTGAGATGATGCTGTAACCAATTGAGCTACCCGGCCAGGGCCCTACAGGATTTCTTCATATATTTATAGATTTGGAATCATTCTATATGTGCTATTTTTTTACACTATGCTTCCCCCCCCCAAGCATATGTCATAAATGTTTTATGCCTTAGCATTTTTCTAAAACATGATTTTTCATGGCTCCCCCCAAATAGTGCACCTTTCATATATACTGTGATTTCTCTGTTGGCCGTTTTGAATATTTGTGTCATGTCCCTCTGTGTCCGTGTGGGTGTTATTGTCACTTGCTGCTCAGATGGGTGTCCGGTTGCTTATCTCTGGATGTGTCCACTGGTTTCCCTCACGAAAATGGGAGCCCGGGAAAAAAGGGCACACTTGTTTCTCTAAACTCGCCTCCCCAAAAGGCCTTTTATGGTCTCATTGCCAGTGTTTTTGAAGTGGCTTGTCATGGCCCCGGCAAATGATGATGAAAATGGCATTATCGTTTCCAAAAATCTTTGCCAAACATTTTATTTTGAAAAAACAGGTCTTTGCCCTGGCTGGTGTGGCTCAGTGGATTGAGTGCCAGCCTGTGAACCAAAGAGTGGCTAGTTCGATTCCCAGTCAAGGCACATGCCTGGGTTGCAGGCCAGGTCCCAGTAGGGGGTGCGTGAGAGGCAACCACACATTGATGTTTCTCTCTCTCTTTCTCCCTCCCTTCCTTTCTCTTTAAAAATAAATAAAATCTTTAAAGAAAAGTAGGTCTTTGTTTAATTTGTACTTTTTGATTAATAGCGGGATTGAATAAATGTCTTGCACATTCATTAGTCATTTGTGTCTCGTACTTGCTTTTCAGAATGGGGATCTCTCTTGTTTCTTACTGATTTGCAGGTACTCAGCTCTGTACGAATGGAACCAGGGCCCGCCTCGCCGAGTCGTTGGGGACTTGCTGGTGGGCCCATGAAATCAGATGCTAGTAAGGCTTCTCGGGCAGCCCTGTGCCACGCCGCAGTTGAGGCTCAGTCAAGATGTTATTATTATACTGAGTAGAAGGGGTGGTGGTAGCAGTGTTCAGAGAAGACAGGTGTGCCGCCGCTTGGGCTGGCGGCCGCAGTACCTCCCTGGGGCCGCCAGGGGGAGGCAGGGAGAGGGCCCACTGAGCAGCACAAACAGCAGAGGGGAGGCGCTGGGAAGGCTTCCGGCCTGCCCTGGATGGGGGGCCCCCTAACAGTGACCCCATCATTTCTCCGGAT